GAAACCCAATGTTTTTGTATGTTTTTTTGGGGGAAACCCGATTGCGAAACGGCAACGGAGGTTGTTGAAGGATTTCGGCATGCGCGCGCGACGACGCGCGCGTGCGCACTTCGTCTTTTTGTTGCAAGGGATTCGTGAACAAGTGTTATGTTAGAACAAAGAATGTCACCGCATAGTGTTTTTTTTTCCACGGGCCCACGGGAACCTCAGGAGGGGGGTTACCTGTTGGCCTGGGACATTGCGATTTCATATTTAGGATGGGCATGTGGTCAGAATCATCTGTGATTATCATACACGAAAGGTGACGTGATAACGCCGGGGGGGGATAGATCGTTTTCTGTTTTTAGAAACAAGAATATATGTTGTACACTATAAGTGGTGTGACCTGGTCGTGCAATATATGTCTCGCAACCCGTGTTGTGCAGTAAATATGGTGCCACCTGTGTGGAAAAGCTATTGTGGTGCAGTCTAGGTGGTGCAGCGTACGCGGTGCAATCTACGTCGTGCAATCTATGTGGTCAGATCTATGGTGTGCAATCCACTCTGCTGAACTCGAAGTCGTCATCTCCACTGCTCGCGCAAACATCCCACCCACCCACCCGCAACTTGGTTTGCAAAACCTCTTAAGACCGACTGCGACGACACCGACGACAACGACTACGACGACACCGACGACGACTTCGACGACGAAGACGACGACGCCGACGCCGACGACGACGAAGACAACGACGACGACGCCAGCGAAGGCGACGACGAGGGAGGAGGAAGGACGACGACGGCGACAACGACGACGGAAACGACCACGACGCCAAAGAGGACGACGACGACGAACACGAGGAAAGACGGAGGACGACGTAGGCGACGACGACGACGACAACGACGCCGGAGGAGGGAGGACGACGACGACGACGACGCACGAGCGCGCGCGCGCACGCTTTTGTTGAAAATCCGTGTTGCGAAACCTTGTGTTTTTGTAGGTTTTTTGGACACACGATTTTGAAATCTTTCCGAAACCTATGGGTTTTGAACGTTTTCGGCGTACGCGCGCGACGACGCGCGCGTCTGCACTTCGTCCCGTTTTTTTGCAGGGGATTCTCGCGGCGGCACACGCGCAAGGGCGTTCGACAGATTTCGACATGCGCGCGCGCGAAGCCCGTTTGGTAGCATTTTGTGACAATCTTGAAAACCATGGTTTTCTTAAGATTTCGCAAGAGCTTTCGCGGAAACTTTTTTAGCAAATCAGGATTTCGAAACCTAATGTTTTTGTATGTGTTTTGGAAACTCGATTGCGAAATCTCTCCGGCACCGAGGGTTTTTGAAGGATTTCGGCATGCGCGCGCGACGACGCGCGCGTGTGCACTTCGTCTTATTTATTGTAAGGGATTCGCGAAAAAGTGTAATGTTAGAACAAAAAATGTCACCGCATAGTGTTTTTTACAAGGGAACCTCAGGGGGGATACCGGTTTGGTTGGGATGATATGACTTAATATTTAGGATGGACGAGTGTGCATAATATATGTATATATATATATGAAACTATACTATCCCAGGGGGAAGCGTTAAGTCCGGGGGGTAGAGTCGATTCTCTTTTTAGAGAAGGAGAATCTGTGTGTTGCGATATAAGTGGCGTGATCTGCTTGTGAAATCTATGTGGTGGAACTAATTTCTGACCGTCTTGAAGCTGTCCTCTCCACTGCTCGTGCAAACATCCCACCCTCCCACCCGCAACTTGGTCGCAAGACCTCTTAAGACAAGACCGTGACGGTAGGTACCAGGTGGCACTTGGCCACGACACCGACGCCGACGACGACAGCGACAACGACGACGACGGCGCCGCCGACACCGACGACGACGACACCGACGACGTTTCCAACGACTTCGACGACGACAGCGACCACGACGACGACGACACCGACGACGACGACGACGACGACGACGACGACGACGACTACAACGACGACGACGCCGACGACGACGACGAAGACAGCGACGACGACGACGACGACAACGACGACGATGACGACGCCGACGACGACGACGTCTACAACGACGACGACGCCGACGACGACGACTACAACGACGACGACGCCGACGACGACGACGAAGACAACGACGACGACGACAACGACGTCGACAACGCCGACGACGACGACGAGGGAGGAGGGAGGACGACGACGGCGACAACGACGACAACGACGACAACGACGAGGGAGGAGGGAGGACGGCGACGACGCGAACGACGAAGAAGGAAGAAGGACGGCGACGCCGACGACGACAACGACGAGGGAGGAAGAAAGACGCCGACGATGCAAGAGCGCGCGCGCACGCTTTTGTTGAACATCCGTGTTGCGAAACCTTGGGTTTTTGTAGGTTTTTGGATACACGATTTGGGAATCCTTCCGAAACAGATGGGTTTTGAAGGATTTCGGCATGCGCGCGCGACGGCGCGCGCGTCCGCACTTCGTCCCATTTTTTTGAAAGGGATTCGTGATAAAGTGTTATGTTAGAACAACAAATGTCACCGCACAATCTTTTTTTTTGCAAGGGAACCTCAGGGGGGGAGATACCGACCGGCCTGGGATAGTGTAAATTCATATTTAGGATGGACCGGTGGTCAGAATCATATTTGATTTACATACCCGAAGGGGGGATTGATAACGCCCGGGGGGTGGGGTAGATCCTATTTTGTTTTTAGCGAGGAGAATCCACTTGCCGAACTTCAAGTTGACAACTCCACTGCTCGCGCAATCATCCCACCCACCCGCAACTTGATTTGCAAAATCTCTTGAGATCGTGACGGTGGGTACCAAGTGACACTTGGCAACGACAGCGACGCCGAAGACGACACCGACAACGACGACGACGACGCCGCCGACAACGACTACGACGACACCGACGACGTCTCCAACGACTTCGACGACGCCGACAACAACGACGACGACACAGACGACGACGACGACGCCGACGCCGACGACGACGACGACGATGACAACGACGACGACGATGACGACGCCGACGACGACGACGACACGACGACGACGACGTCAACGACGCCGACCGACGACGCCGACGACGACGGACGGCGGGCGACCGACGACAACGACGACGACGTCGACGACGGACGAAGCGCCCCCCACCCCCCGCCACGCCGGACGCCGACGCCGACGGACGACGACGAAGACGACGGACGACGTCGCCAACGAAGACGACGACGAGGGAGTAGGAGGTTAGGAGGGAGGACGACGACGGCTGACAAACGACGACAAACGACGCTAACGACGCGGGAGCAGGGGAGGACGGCGACGACGCGATCGACGAAGAAGGAGGAAGGAGGCGACGCCGACGACCGACAACGACGGAGGGAGGAGGGAAGACGACGACACTGACGGACGCTATCGACGACGACGACGACCGTCGACGAATTAGGAGGGACGACGCGAGCCGCCGACGACGGACCGACGCCGACCCGCCGACGACAAGGGTGGAGGAGAGGAGGAGGAAGGACGACCACGGCGACAACGACGACGGAAACGACCACTACGCCAAAGAGGACGACGACGACGACGAACACGAGGAAGGCCGAGGACGACGTAGGCGACGACGACGACGACGCGGGAGGAGGGAGGACGGCGACGACGACGACGACGACGACGACGACGCAAGAGCGCGCGCGCACGCTCTTGTTGAACATCCGTGTTGCGAAACCTTGTGTTTTTGTAGGTTTTTTGGACACGCGATTTGAAATCCTTCCGAAACCGATGGGTTTTGAAGGATTTCGGCATACGCGCGCGACGACGCGAGCGTCTGCACTTCGTCCCGTTTTTTGCAGAGGATTCTTGGGGACGGCAAACGCGCAAGGGCGTTCGACAGATTCCGACATGCGCGCGCGAAGCCCGTTTGGTAGCATTTTATAAAAATCTTGAACAACCATGGTTTTCTTAAGATTTCGCAAGAGCTCGCGCGGAAGCTTTTTTAGCGAATCAGTGTTGCGAAACCATGTGTGTTTTGCATGTTTTGGGGGAACTCGACTGCGACATCCTTCCGACACCTGAGGTTTTTGAAGGATTCGGGCATGCGCGCGCGACAACGCGCGCGTGTGCACTTCGTCCCGTTTGTCGGAAGGGATTCGCAGAAAAAGTGTTATGTTACACCAAAAGATGTCCCCGCGTATCGTCTTTCACAAGGGAACCTCAGGGGGGGCGATACTGGCCCCCCCAGAGATAGTGTAAATTCATATTAAGGAAAGGCCAGTGGTCATAATCATATATGATTTACATACCCGAAAGGGGGGGATAACGCCGGGGGGGGTAGAGTCTATTCTGTTTTTTAGAAAGGAGAATCTGCGTGGTGCAATCTTCGGTGCAGTCTTTGCGGCGCAATTTCTGCGGTGCAATCTTTGCGGCGCCATCTTTGCGGTGCAATCTGCGAGGTGGCGCCGGGGCGGCGACGGCGACAACCTAGCCGCCAGATTGGCACATAGGCCCAGACGACGGGTGGCGACGGGGCGGCGGCAGCGACGTCATAGCCGCGAGACCATCAGACAGGTCCAGTTCTTCGGGGCAGAAGTAGGAATCCCAGAGCCCTGAGTGCAATCGTGGTTTGGGGAAACAGCATAATCCAGCAGTGGCGAAGCGTCCTGACCTGCCCATGAGCTCACCAAGCAACTGTCTAGGATCATGTTGGCATGGCGTGTATACGAGACGTTATCATGACCTGTCTGCCTGGGGCAGCACTGTGTTAACGCGTCGCTTTCCAGATCTGTCCTGAGAGCACTGTTTTTTCTCAGAGCGCTCATTTCGTTGCAAGCACATTTCGCGGCATGCGTATTATAGGAGTGCCAGGACGGTCGGCCCCTGCTCAACTCAAACTTTCGGGGGTCCGCACGGATTCTGTTGGATCCGCGCCAGAGGCGCTGCCAGGGGCGCCCAGCGCCCATCAAAGAAGTCCGCGCGGAGCTCCGAGAGTTCCTCATGTTCACGCATGGGTGGCCCTCGTGTGAGGAGCGCCAACGACGCGGCCTGCCTGGTTTTCCTGATCCAGGAGCTGCGCAAGCTCCACCGCACGGTGGGGGGCGAGCGGTACGGGGAGCTCCAGCGGGACCTCCTGCAGCGCGTGGTGGAGTCCTGGAACCAGCTGCCGGGGGAGGCGCAGGCTCCCGGGCAACGCGGGGGGGGGGATAGGCTCGGGTGGGGGGCGAGCGGAGTTTCGGGTTCGGGGTTCGAGATGCTCGGACGTTGTGCCTAGATTGGCGCCTTCCAGCAGCAGCACCTCGCCGAGAGCGTCCCGGGGCTGCCCGGAGCGTCCCGAACGAACGCCCCGAAGACCAATGGGCAACGTGCTCGAGGGGGAAGCGCATCAACCCCCAATCGCCCACTCATCGCCGATGGGGGCCTGACAAACCACCCCTCCTCTGGAACGTTACGTTTTGCCCTCGGGGACCCATCGCCGATTTATCGGCGATGTATCACCGATTCAAGCTCGATGTTCCCCCGTAAGCCTGTCCCCTGCTGGCGTTCGGGTCATAGTTCGGGCCTCCGGCGGCCGTTCGGGACGATGTGGGACCCCGTGGAACGGTCTCGGCGAAGCGCAGCCGCTGGAAGGCAGCCAGAGGCTGGACAGCCGCCGAGACACAACGAAAGCGACCGAACACCTCGAACCTCGAACCTCGAAACTTGGCTTCCGCCCCACCGGTCCCCCCCGAGGCGGCCATCCTGGACGAGGAGTTCGTGGACCTATCGCCCGAGGCAGACGGCGGGGAGCTGCCCGAGACGGTGTTCGCGCTGCGGCCGTTCAGACTGCAGAGCGCGGGGCGTCTGTTCCGGCTCGGCGAGCTGGTGTCGCGCTCCGGCGACACGGACCCGTGCCTGAGCCTCAGAGGAGGGGATGGTACATTGATGCCGCTGCTCGTCCTGGAGAGGCCTCGGCACCACGGCCGCATTCTCCTCGAAACCCTGGTCAGGGCGCACCCCGGGAGAGGTCCAGGGAGAAGGGGCATCCGAACGGCTTTGCCCTCCCCCAGTATACCGTCGGACCGAGGCATACGATCGAGGTCGATTCAGGGAGGGTGCCCCAGTGCTCTTCGTGCTTGTTGGCTGCTCTTTTCTGCATCCTGGGGAGGGTACCCTTATATGTTCTGTTTGCTTCTGGCCGGCGGACGGTCTCACGGGAGGAGGAGGAGCAGAACGAGGAGGAGGAGGAGGAGGAG